GGGGGGGGGGGGGGGCTCCTCCGGCCTCCAGTCTCAGAAAGAGCTGGCAGGCAAAACCGGCGTCGGCACTCAGCCGAGAAAAGGCACTCTAATCATGCTCAGAGGCACTCGGTACAAGAGGGCAGGTAGAAATGAGGCCTCTGGGGTTCCGGGGTGCAGGATTCACTTAATCGGTCTGCTTACTCCCGCCTTTCAGTCCAAATCAAACTGATCTCCTTTCTTTCTATTCGCCACGCTGCCCTTTCACTTGGCGAATAAGCAGCGTGTGTAACATCCCGCTTCTGTGCCCTCTTGGCACCCCCTAAAACAGCCTCCGGCGTCCGGGCACCATTGCAAGAGAAGCATCTTTGCTCCGGTCCAGCAAGGGTGCCCAAGGCATTGGGGGGAAACAGGAATGCCAAATGCCCTTCGGGAGAACGAAAAGGGCAAGAACTGGTACAAAATGCCAATAGGGGCTCCTGATCCCAGATGATCCTATGGGGCAGGCAGGGCTGAAGGGTGGTGTCCCGAGGCCACGGGACCTTTTGGGGCCTGTCAATCTGGGCCTTTCCTTTCTTCTGACCTTACCTGGTCCAGGTGTTACGGAAAAGCCACGCGGCTCTTCCCGCCACTGTTTTCACCCACGCTCTTGAAAAAGCAGGGCTTAATTTCAGTGCCAAAGGCAGCTAACCCCAGTTTCAGTCCGGGCTTGGGGGGGAGGAAAGGGGGAGCAGATTAAAAGCAGCTTTCTCCGGCCTTCCCTCTCCTTTTCCCCTGGGAAAACTCTCCACGAGGGCGCAGAGGGCCCCCCTTGTGCTGAAAAAATACGGTTTTAAAAGCACAGCCTCTGACCTCCTCCGATGGGACGGGGGGTTTTCCGCAAGGATTCCCCCCCAGCTGCAATTACCCAGCGCCAACGTCAGGAAGGAAGCAGCACAGGGCGCTCTGACGCGCACAGGCTCCTTTGGGCAACAGCTGATGCTCCTCCAAGGCTCCCCTGGCAGACCCCGGGCCTTGGGGATGCTTTTGGGGGGGAGGAGGGAAATTTCAGATGGGGGTGCCAGACGCTCGGCGACGCTCCTGGGTTGGCAGGGAAAAGGCCAGGCGTGGCACGAGAAATCCGGTGGGGCAGCCGGCTCCTTCCGCAGCTAAATCTCTGCCTTCCGCAACTTGATTAAGCGGCTGGATTTTGGTTGGGCTCGGTGTGTCCCTGGTCTGGATCTCTCGACTCCCTGCCTGGGGCACAGGAGCACTGCTGGGGCCAAGAAGTTGGCAAGTGCTTGCAGAAGGGGACAGAAAGCTGGAGACCGACACGAAGGGGGCAGAATCGTGCCGGCGCTGCCATAAACCAGTTTTTTGTTTCAGCACCACAATAAGCCGGGGCAGGCCTGGAAAAGAGCAGCCTCGAGTGGACCTTGGGTAATACTTGGATAGGAGACCACTAAGAGATCCAAGCGGTAGGCTAGGGTGGGAACTCAAAACGCATCCTGGCCTTTCCATGCTGTTGTCAAGAAAATGACATGGATGGATCAGGGAGATGTTACTTAACTTAATCCAAAACCACAATCTCGACCGTCACGCTGCTTTCCACCCCTCTCACTCAGATCGCCCGGATGGGCTCGGCGCCAGGCCAGAACAGATGCATCCCCCCCCCTTAGAAAATGAGACGTGCCTATCTCACAAGGCTGTTGTGAAACCAAGGAGGCCCATTTGCGGATGGGGCGGGCAGAGAGGGCACCCGATGCCGGGAAGGAAGCGAAACAGGATTTCCAGCATCCCGAACGGCGGGGAGGGACGCGATGCCAGGGTCTATAAATAGCAGGAACGGAGACACACGTTTTGGCCATGGATGGCAATGAGAGGGCCGTGCGATATTTATGGCGGCCCGTTCATCTCGTCCAAAAGGGGATCAGCCTGATTGCCAGGAGCCTTTCGGGAAGGAAAGCGCCAACGAATCACCAATAATGAGTAAGAGGCGCAGCTGGCTTTCGAGCGCAAACAAAATCGAGGCCAGACCGGTTCCTAGTCCTCATGACGGAGCGCCTTCCTAGCCCTCCCGCCCCAGCCCAGCACGTCCCCTTGCCCAGCCAGATTCCCACCCGCCACGCTGCGCAGTTGCAGGCTCGTGCGAGCGAGCGATCCAGCACGGCCGCCTTCCTTCGCACCCGCCTCCAACGTGTCGCACGCGCATCGGCATCGGTCGATTTCCCTTCCTAGGTGTCGCTTGCCTCCTGCTGCCCCCCCCGGACCGCTCCCCCCCCCTCAAGGTGAGCAGGATCCGGGGCTGGATTTGTTTACACTTGTGAAGATGAACTTTCCAGCGGGTGTATAATTAGCAGCAAGATCCTGGCGGGGGAATTGGTTTCATAATAATTCCATATTTATATTTTTATCTCATCTCCAGGAGCCCGGGGAAGAGGCTGCCGGCTACGGGGGGGCGGGGGGACGGGTTGGCTCCGTCCGCCTGGAGGGCTGCGTTCCCCCGTTGGGAGGAAATGGGGGGGGTCCAGGCGGCAGAAAAACCCGGGGCTGGGTCCTGGGGATCAGAGGGCACTCGCAGTGAGGGCAGGGGCCAGTCAGCTGCTCCCTCGACAGCAGTGTTTCTCAAACTTGGCAATTTTAAGACATGTGGACTTCACCTCCCAGAATTCCCCAGCCAGCATGCGTGGACTTCAACTCCCAGA